GCTGCGTTGGCACTGTCTGGCTCAGCGTTGCGATCCAGTACTGGCTGTGCTTTGTCGCGTTGGGAGTCGTTGAGGGTTCGTGCCCGCGTGCGTATGGTTCTCTTCTTGCGTGGTCGATGCGGTGGGCTCTGCTCTCTGTTCTGGTGGGGGTTTGAACTGTGGTCCTCCTCCTCCTCCCGCTCCTCCTCCTCCTCCTCCTCCTCCTCCTCCTCCCATCGATTCCTCCTCTCCCTCCTCCTCCTCCTCCTCCTCCTCCTCCTCGTCCTCCTCCTCCTGCTCCTTCTCTTCGCCCTGAGGCTGCTCCCCCTGCCCCGACCCCTCGCCCTGATCCGCTGGGGCCGCCCCGCCGGCCCCGCTCCGGCTCGGGCCCCCCGGGGGGGCAGACCTCGGGGGCAAACAAACCTGCCTCGCTTTTGACCACCCTCGCTTCCAAGAGATGCCAAACGATGCCAAATTGCAGCCTGTACTGCTCTCGCCGCTTGACGAGGAGGCGCGTGGTATGGCTTGGTTTTGCCTGGAAGCGAAAGCGGGGTAGGTAATTCACGCTCTGAGGCAGGCGACGAGCACCGCTCCGCTGCCCGAGGGCCGGCAGGCTGCTGGGCCGCCCGCCGCACGACGCAGGCACAGGCCAGCCCGCGGGCAGCCAGATTTGGCTCGGCGAAGCGGCGGCGGCGAGCGAGGGGGGGAGGCCTCGAACTCCGAGGTTCGTTCGAGGTCCTCGGACGCTTTCGTCGGTTCTCGGCGGCTTTCTAGCCGCGGTATGCTTGCCAGCAGCTGCGCCTTTCCGATGGCGTTCCGGGGGTGCCCGGATCGTTTCGAACGCCCGCGGGAGACCCGAGTTATGACCCGAAAACCAGATTCGGCGGCGAGCGGGGGGGGAAGTGAGAAGGAGAAGGCATTCTCGGAAGGTGGCGGGACTTCTCAGAAGCCCTCGCGCCTTCTGGGAAGGTTTCTGTGCCTTTGGGGAAGGCTTCGATAACCTCTCAGGAGGCCAGGAGAATTCCGAACCCTCTGAGAGGGCCTTCTCCTCCTCACCTCCCCCCTTCGCTCGCCGCCGAAGACTGGCCTCTGGGCACACACCGCTGGGCGGCCAAGATGGGCCACACGCCTCGGTCGGCTACGCGTAAGAGCGACCCTGGGCAAGGGTGACCTCTGGTGCGCGGCTTTTTGGGGGCCGCGGGGGGCCAAACGCAAGCGCGCAAGACGCCACTGCCGCTTCGCGTTCGGCGATTGGGAACCCCAATGGGCCCGCACCAATCGTCACTCCGGCGAAGGGTCACTCTTACGTGCCGTTGACCCGGCCCCACGAGCCGCGAAGCCACCCCCTGAGAGACCCGACGCCACGGAAACATGGCAGCATCGCAGAACACCACGCCGGGAGCCCTGGACCCCACCGCTCCGTGGCACTTTCGAGCCGCATCGATCCGTGGTGGCCCCGCGAGGCCCGAAACAACCGGGCGAGATCGCGCCCGGGGTCGGAACTGGCGATTCCCTCGAGCCGGGGCGAGCCGTGGCGACGAGTTTTTTTTTTGGGGGGGGGGGGGAGGCGGGGGGAAGGGGAGCAGGAGGTGGGAGCGGACAGAGCTAGCATGCATCTTGTGGTCGACAAGAGCGGGAGCGGACAAGTCCTGCTCCCCACTAGAACTTCGACGGAAACGCAAGGGGGCCACCTGCCCCGCCCCTGCTGGCCGGAGCCAGTGCTGGGCCACCTCGGCCCCACCGGCTCTATTGAAGGGGCCCTAGGACACACAAAAACATACACACAAATAAAAGGATTCCCCATATTTTTCCATATTTTCGGGGTTTCTGTCTTCCCCCCCACTTCCCATATTTTCCCATATTTTCCTGGGAATCGACGATTTATTGTGTCTGTGTGTTTTTTCCCCTCCTGATCTATGTAAGACTCGGCTCACTGAGATCCCGCTCCGAAACCCTCGGGCGGCCAGCGGCCCCATAGGGCGCTCGAGGCAAGCCCGCAGATGCCACCCGCCCCAGACGAGGGGAACCTCGGACCGCGGATGCCCGGGTTGGGCTACAGCAGGAGCTCGACCACAAGACGCCTTCCACAAGAAACCAGATCCTGGGATCCCGAGACGTCCCCGGATTTTTGTGGTGTGGGAACGTCACGCTTTCCATAGCAACACCGTCGAGCCCCAAGAAACCCAGGGCACCCTGGAGGCGAGCAGAGTGTTCCTTGGCATGGGTTCCCACTGCACGCGCAAGAGTGACCCTGGGCAGGAGTGGCCTTCGGTGCGGCTGTCGGGAGCCGCGAAGGGCCCAGATGCAGAGATGCGGCCCAGTGCCCGGGCCACCCGTGGGCCCGCACCACAGGGCCACTCCGGCGAAAGGCCACTCTCGCGCGTGGCCACTCTCCTCCTCCTCCTCCTCCTCCTCCTCCTCCTCGTCCTCATACTGGTACCAGGGAGAACCGACTCTCCATGGTCCCGGCTCCAGTTCCAATCTCGGAGCCGCTCATCTCCCGCCTCGGTGCGCATTTTCTTTCCGAAGCCACTTCCGCTCTCAGGGTGCAACTTCTTTTGGCGGCACG